GACTCGGTTCGTCTCAAACCTTCAGCCCCATGTGTTGTTCCATATTTCCTCTCCATTTTCCTCTTCACTCAATACACACGACTTCCCAGGAATTCCTTCAACACTAGCTTTAAAAAAAACAAGTTCACAGATGCAATGGCAGCTCAAGACAGTGAAGAGACAAACAGCTTTTTTTTTTTTTTTTTAAAGTTGAAATGAGTTAAAAAGCAGCAAAACTTCGCCTCAACAACGCGAAGCAAGCATCATGTTATCGTTCACACGACTACCTTTAGTTTCTCGACTTAACCGCGACCGTCGGGCATTGCGGAAGATTAAAGCGTACCTCCCGTTCCGTCTCCGTAAAAAAAAAAAAAAAAACGCTACCAACGCTATTTGTGTGACGGGCTGGGTTTCTTCTTCTTTCTCGTGTCTCTGTTTAAAGTGTGTGTGGAGTGAGTCGACGACCGCGCCCCGTGGTTTCCCTTTCCCCCGCCGAGCCAGTAAGAAGCGCCGCTCGGTGCTCACGTGGATCAACGGCGCAACAACAACACGAGCCATGTGTGTGTCCGACAGCAAGCGCGCACGGGGTTTACTGGCGCTGACACAGAAAGATGCTGTTCCTGGAAACATGTGACAACGGTAATGGGTCGAAAGAGAGCCGCACAGAAGCTTTCAAACACACTGTGTTTGGTTTCATATACAAAAAGCCCCTTCCTAATAATTCCTCGCGTTGTACAAGACCCCTTTTCTATCAGTTACTACACTGAGGAGCCCTGACTAAGTGGCATTTTTTGGATATTTCATATTATATTCAAAACTGTACAATCAACCCAAATAATGAACTCAGTAACTGCAGGGAGTTTGGTTTGGATGAATTTTTAACAGATTATTTCCTGTAATAATTTTTTTTACAAGCATACAAACTTAATAGTTTTTGGGGTTTTTCTTGTTCAAAGTCAAAGTCAGTTTTATTTGTCAAATATGCTATACATGCACGACATACAGCACAGATGAAATTTTAGTCCTCTCAGACCCACGGTGCAAACAAGCAATAAAAAAAATAAAATAACAGACAACAGACAAGTGCACTTGAGGTATTTACAGAAAGTTAAGGTCTGGTGCTTGGTCATTGTTCCATTTGACAATTTACATTTACTTTTCTAAACAGAAGTGAGCCAAATGTTGAGATAGAGGCCTACTGTGTATATGTTTAAAGTTAAAGTAAAGGCTGACTCCCAGGTTGGGAACCACTGTTTTAAGATATTTGATTGATGCTCTAACCTGCCTTAGTTTACTAA